AACAGGTTTGCGGCTTTGGGTAGTTCTAGTGCCGGTTGACCGATATCTTGTATTAAGGCTGGAAACTGACGCTCTGGCGGCCAATAGGGCTGACCAAAGTGAGTTGTAGGCTCTGCGTTTGGTTGATTTTCTGTAATACTAGAGGTATTATTGCTGAAGTGAAACGCGACGCATTGAGGCCTTCCCATGAAAGCTTAGAGCCGCCTGTTGCCCATGCTTGTGGGTCTGGCACTGGTGACACGTAATGTCGGTAGTTGATTGTTGAACCTTGTGGCTTAATAGATCTACTAGCGCTCCTATTTGCTTGATTATCTGTGCAAATATCTCTGTATTGAGCATCCATTCTGTCGGCGGTAGATGTGGCCGAGAGAGTCGCCTGCTAGTATATTCCTGGCTCCGGGAATGTGGCATGCTTTGACATGTAGATTTAGATCTTGGATTAATTCAACAGTTGAAAGGTTAAATTCAAAGGTTCGGCGATCTCGTTGAGCCTTGTCTGTTCACATAAAACGCCACTGTCGAGTTGTCGGTATGTATCATCAGGTGCGCATTCTGTAGAATGTTGCTCCAATGTCTTATGGCGCTGATTACAGCTTTCATCTCTAATGCGTTATGTGGAGTTTGCTTTCTAGCTGAGTCCATAACCCTGATGCCGTCCGGGTTGGAGAGATGAGCTCCCCAACCTTGGAGCGGCATCGTCCTACATATAGATGGGTCTTGAATTCCTGCTCTGCTAAACAAATCCCTTCGCAGACATTCGATTTCTTTGTCCACCATAATAGATGAGGTCTGAGATGTATCGGTAGACTGAATGGTTGTAGGTCGTCGAGATGTGTATTGATCGAAGACCTGTAACGGACGAATTGTAATCTGCCTATGACTGTCAAGTCTTGGGCTGATGTTAGAAGACCTAGTAAGCTCTGCCATTGTCGGCGGTAGCGGTGACAGTAGAGCTGGTGGAATGATCTGTTGGATCTTGAGCCAACGGTCTTCTGGTACGCACTATACGGTTGAGATTGGTGATAAATCGGATTCCTAGGAATTGCAGATCTTGGCGATGGTACTAGGTCCGACTTGTGTAAGTTTACTAACCATCCCAGCTGTGTTAGTAGCTTTATGATGTAGTTTAACTGTAGTTTGAGATGCTGTGGATCTTGATCTACTTGTATCCCGTCGTCGAGGAAGAACGCGACTGGCGAGTCTCTTGACGATGTAGATAGATAACAATCGGTTTCGTTATCCTCGTGAATAACCATGGGGCTGATGCTATTCGGAATGGGAGTACTTTCCACTGGTAATGTAACCCGCCTAGCGTAAACCGGGCGTATTTCCTGGATTCGATGTATTGGGATGCAGATAAGCATCTTGTAGATCTATACTGCCCATGTAGTCCATGGGGCTTAATCATCTGCGTCAGAAGGCGTAGATGTATCATAGTGAACCTGGGTGGTTTGTTTAAGTAAGTCTTGTTGAATAAGCTCATGTTGTAAATGAGTCTGTATTCTCCTGGAGTTCTTCTTGGGTACTAGGAAAACTGGGGAGTAGAAACCTGGTTCGATGTTTCCTTGCTCTATTACTTCTATGGCCTGCTTGGTTAGGAGTAATGTAACGCCTCTCTTAACTTTAGTAGTTGTTGTGCCTCTACCTCGAACTTGTGAGGGTTGACTGTTAGTGGAGGCTTGGCCTGTAGTGGGATCACGAAATCTGCTGCTGAAGAATGTTGGAGACATAGGTGTCTTGAAGTATTCCCCAGTTTCCCCAGTGTAGTTGAAGACGCCCACCCACTTGTGACGGGTTGTACTGGAACGGCTGGGGGTGGAAGACTCCAGTCGTTCGAACCTGTCTTTCAGCGCTTATAGTTGCGGGAACCTCTGGGTGTCCTGCCTCGTCCTGACCCTCCTCTATAGTTGCCATATGGGCTTAATTAAAAGAATCTCTTCCCTGGAACTGGCAATCTTCCTGTCTCTAGCTCTTTGTAGGCCCGTGAATTTAGATCTCCCTGAGTATCTTTGTAAGTCTGTCGAATGACACTGGCTAAGCGTGTCCATCGATTTAATCATCAGGACTTCTCTAGAATCCTTGGTGACTTCTTTGGAGACTGTGTCTATTCCTCCGTCAAATATGGATGGGGAAGACCACGGGCTGTATATAGTGGAGCTGTAAAGTTCTCACCCCAGTTGCAGGAAGCTAGGAGGCCCTTGACGACGAAGCTAAGGTCAGTGCTGCTGAGACAGACGTCCAGATGATCTGTTAAAACTGCTGGTCCTTCTTTGCATCAGTAGGGCCGAGTAAATCATTCTGTCATCTTCAGAGGTCGTGTGTTCAAATCTGGAGATAAGTGTCTCATTTATTGTTCTAGATCTATTTAGACCGAAGAACATACCTCGCCATGGTTTCTATCTGAACCAATTTCCGATCATCAATCTTGTAGTACTTGTTCTTGGCATCGGAGATCAGCTTATAGTTCTCATCGATGTCTTTAAGCTTTGAAGAAGGGTTCCATATTATGCGGAGAACTTCTTGGCTGAAATTTGGCAGATGTGGCGCCTGAACCTTTGTGGCTTTGTTAAATGCTGTATCTAGGTTCTGAGGTACCGCGCGCCATCGGTCGATTGGGGGTAGTGTAATAGCATCTGCCATCTTCTTTCATCAGATAAGTCTGCGCCTATTGCCACTCTTGGAAGGTGATGAGAGATCTAGATTATTGACCATCCAATATCTTATCTCTGCATCTGAGAAAATAATTCCTCCATCATCTTCCATTCCATCATCATAGATAAGAGGTTGTTGCTCTTCTGATGTAGGGCTGTGTGGCTCTATCTCTATATCGCTTGGACGCTTGTGGAGATCTAGTTGTAGGCTTATGTGCAGACCTGTGAGGTGATCGACGCGGTGATCGGGCGCAGGTGATCGCCTTGGTGATCTATATCGAGATAGGTTGACCTTCTTGGCGATCTATGAGGGGACTGATAGCTTCGCCAAGCTCTTGTGTAGTCCCTTGCTGATCTTTTAGATGAAGACGATCTGTTCAGGGTGTCGCTTCGCTTCGAACGCTTCTCGCTTCTTAGACGCGCGCCCGGGTCCTGGGGAACGATGATATGACCTTCGCCGAAGGCTTGCGGTGGTCTGGTGATCAGATTCCATATCTGAGTATGACGCCAAGAAGGTGATGATTCTTCCCGCGCCGGCTGTACATCTGGGTCCTTCGTCGAGGTGGTCTGTGACTTCCTTCGCCAAGGCTGCATTGTCGCGGGCTGCTACGTTGACAGATGGTGCCCCTGGGGTGTTGTTCACGCTTGGAGCCTTCGCCGGCTTCGGACCCTGGGATGGCTGCTTCTCCAGTCTATAGTGGCCTTCCATCATAATCATGATCTGTTTCATAAGATCGCTTTGGGATGATCTGCGACGTAGTAGATGGTGCCCTTTCTGCTGTGTTAGCGGTGGGGCCCTCAGCGATCTCGGCCTGACATCAGTGTAGAGGCATCAGGCTGCTTGTTGATCTCTGCTGGACGCCACTGTCGCTGTCACTGGTCAAGCTTCTTGTGGCGTATGTCGGGTATGATGATCGGCTGGTCATCGTAGAGGCCCAATTCTGCTGCTGGAACGATCTCGCCTGAGAAAGTTCTCGATGACTTCTCAGAGATTTCCCTTTGGAGGAAGACGCTGCCCTGGGGTACGGTCTGCGTTGAGAAGACGTTGAGGCCCTCTTGGACTTTGTCTGCGATGACTGGATGTCTGGAGAGGCCGGTCGCTTAGAGGTGACGGACTGCATCCCACGTCCCTCTTCCGATGGGGTCTCAAGCAGAACACCAGACGGGGAGGGATCACTCGACAGCAGTTGACTGTATGGGCAATCCGGTCGTATCGGCCATGTCTACACCTAGTTTGCGTGACCTATCTGCAACACGCCTCAAGACGAAAGATGGTATTTATCAAAGGCAGAATTGGTTAAATTTATGCAGTAACTGCAACGTGAGTCAAACGCATAAGGTAGTACAACTAGGGCATACCACATGCGGATCCGCGAGCGAAAAACGTAATCTACAAATAGTACAGTTTTTCATCAATGTAAAACTAGCTGAACAATCACGAACTCACGTGAATAAACAGTAGAAATACGCATTAATTATTAACGCAAATAACTGAAGGATACTAGCTATACCTTTATAGTAAACTATAAAAGGTAACTAACTAAGAAAAACCAAAGGATATAGTGTGTAAGGAGACACAGGCGCTCTCACATCCTGCTCACTGGGCGAAGAAGGAGAGAGTGAAGCATGAGGCCAGAGGGTGGCGACACCTGTTCCCGCGCTTACGGGCAGGGGAGGTAACTCGTGGGTGAGTACCAATTAGTGATTTTACATTGAAGGGAGCTTCAATTAAGGAGATACAAGTGTTCCACTATGTTCGCAAGAGGAAGGGGACAAGCAAAAGAGCATGAGTCAGGATAAGGAAAAATTAACGATTTCAATGGGATCATGAAGAATAATAATTTTAAATTAAATATGGTGTTTCAGTTAACATGACTTCACTGTAGTCTGTACATATAATGTACAAGGTTCTGTTATGAAACTTCAAGCCATGTTTAACTGAACTATTTTCCATTACAGGACAATATTCTGCTGACATGTGTTTTTGAAGAATCAGGCACGGAGACCAACACAATACCAGTTCAATATGATTTATAGATCAGGATCTTTTAATAACAGGTACGAGTCTAGCATTTATCAAAGATGAGGTGAGGTGAAATTGGGTTTAACGTCGTGCTTGAGAATATTTCGCTCATATGACGACATGCATGCATGTGTATGTGTATGTGCAGCTGCTTGTACTAGCCCAGACTTAAGCTGGTTTTATAGTGCTAGCTCACTGAGATACCATGCCGCAGTGAAGCATGAATACCCCACTCAGACACATTATACTGACTCCGAGCCGACCAGTCCTTGTTGTACCCATTAATGTCGAGTGCCAGGCAGGGACCAACAAGTACCATATTTTAACGTCTTTTGGTATGACATGGTCGTGGATCGAACCCGTGACTTTCCACTCTCCGAGCGGACGCTCTAACCACTACACCACGGAGGCAGTCTATCAAAGATGAGTGTGTGATAGCAGACAGGGGTGTTGCCATGCATATGTCATGATATGGTCGACGTATCATTACTTTCTTACATGATATGACACAGAATCTTACTCCTTGGGAATGACTTTTCATGACAATTTCTTATTACATTTGTATGGATGAATAAATAGCGCATGTGACCAGCTGTTAGTAATTAGAATAAATATCAAGATTGCAACGGTGTCAAAATTTGACATGGAATGAATGTTTCACAAACCTGTCTTGAAATTGGTACCTTTTAAAAATAATTTACTATGTCATGGCTAGGAAAAATACGTAAAACTACCCCTTCCCCAAAAACTTCAGATGTGTCTCTGTATAAGTCTACTTGGACTGGTGTATAAAAAAGTAAAGTTAAGTATTAAACCCAACTAATATACACTATACTTTTGTTGGAAACTTTTATAAATCTTAATGTATTAAACAAAACCTGAAACCAATCTCTATGAGAAATAATGTATCTGGACTCTATGCTTGTTATCTTTCTTGTTGATAACAGAACCTCTCTTGTAAACATCTAGCAATTTTGAGAAAAGTATCAAGACACTTTCAATTTGTTCTGAAAATACTGAAAGACCCTGAAAGGACTAGGTAATGGCCACTCGTATTGGTTGGGCACCACTCCGTCGCACTTGGACTCAAAGAATGCAAACATGGGGAACCAGACTCGGGTGCGGTCTGCGTCCTGCTGCATGAGGGAGCGGTTGTTGGCGAGGGTGTGGTAGTACATGAACAGCCTGGAGCTGAGGTAGAAGGAGATGAACACGTCGATGGAGTAGTGCTCATGGGCGGCCAAGATGAAGAATATCCCGAAGACGTTCAATACCCATGACAACATGTGAAGAAGGTAGGCCTTCTGTTGGGGTGTGTCTGAAACAAACAGGTTCTGTTTAAGATTTCATGCATTTAGTTCCATAGTTCTGGATAAGATGGGGTGTGGGTAGCCTAGAGGTTAATGCATTTGTTGAGGAACTGGGTTCGATCCCTACATGGATAAAAAAAATGTGTGCAGCCAATTTCTAGTGTCCACTGTGATATAGCTGGAATATTGCTAATAAATAAAAAAGTTCATATATCGCAGATTTTGTTAATCAAACTGCAGATTTTCTTAATCATGCTGTTGATTTTCTTAATCATACTTAGGATTTTCTAAAGCATACTGCAGATTTACCTGCAGAAAACAGAGGCATGGAAGTGGAATATAACTGCCAAGTAACCATTACAGACAGATTTTCACAAAAAAGATTACTTAAAAGTCACATGCAACGTAAAACACAACTTTGCAGATTCTGATACCTTTTGGTATTGACTTACAGATACAAATCATCAAAAATGCAAATTCAACTTTGAAAATAACGCGTTGGAAACCACCACCCCACCCCCCCCCGAGAAATCAGAGTTCAAACTATTCACTACATTCACCCCAGCGCTTGGAGTGAAAAGTGGTTTCAACAGCTGGGATGCGCTGCACTCATAGCGCATGCGCAGTGAATAGGTTCGCACAGCTTGAAAGCGGGATGTCCGGATTATAAGGTAATGAGCAGGAGTAGTCTAATCAAAACAAATAGTAAATAATCTACTCATTACAAAAAAAGAACCTCGTTAGGATCTAGATCTACTCAGCTATGCGTCAACCAGTGAGGCGTTCGACATTACAAGGCGGACAAAACCTTCGCTGGCGGTGAGTACTTGGTGAAGGCTTTGATGTGAGCTATTTTTCTAATGTTTTGTTGATATTTCACAGGCACGAGCTTTTTTATGTGTTATGACAGTAGATTGCCGATTAAACTGTTTATATCATTTCATTTGTCTATTTCACTACACGTTCTTCTTACTTAGTCACTTTCTCAGTTCGATACTAAACAGCAATGTCATTATTTAGTGTTGACAGTATGTCTAACTGTGATATAGATATGTCTTTGTCACAAACATAACTCAATGTCTGTTTTATTGACACCTATGTGTCTGCCTGCCTGTCTGCTAATGACAATATGCAATACACAACTTCCATCACTGACCACATGCAATTAGAACTTAACACCTATCAGGCTATACACCATAAACAAAACACATTGAAGTATGACTCGTGCACCAAGTTCGGTCTCTGTCACATTATGCAATTACACAGACAAGCACGTGTGATTCTTGTACACATGACATGTTATGATGTCTGTTGATTGCAAAATGTTATACACAAAAACTGAGCATGTATTTACAAAACCCAACATCTCTATATACACACACACACACACACAATGAGCTGCGAGGGCATTGGCAAATGAACCAGCCAATGAAAGACTTTGTTACACTTGAGTGCACACCCACCCACTCTGACTGGGTTCGGTATCCTGGGTGCTTCGTTTCTAGGGAAGTGAACCCAAGTACAAAATATTGCATTTTTGATTGAGATTGCACGCTTATAATTTTGTTTATATGTTTTTTCATAATCAGCAATGTCTATTATATGTCACGAATAAGTGATAACTGTGTTTTAACCATGTTTAATTTTTTGGTTGCATGTGACCTTTAGAAAAAATGGTCAATACCTACAGAATATGCTGACAATAGGAACATGACCCACAAGACTTACGAAAAGGGAAATATCTTAAACATTCTGTTAGAATTTGCTCCATGATATTTTTCTACAGCTTAACACAAATGACCAGGTAATGGTTGTCACTCAGGAAGGAACTTCGTCTGTCATACAGACCCTGAAGCAAATATATCCAAGAAATCCCTTGCAAGTCTAGAAAATGTGGCAAGTCTAGATTTCCACAGCTTCAAGAAAGTCTCAGGGCTCCTTTTCATCATATTTTATTTTTACTACTAAGAGCTTTTTTGTGTGTTAAATATGTTCATTTCAGTGACTAGTTGTTAGTCTAGAAGTAACTGTCCATTTACATTAAAAGGAAACTGTCTTAAGTTCATATGTAGACCAACAAACCATGTATCCACACAGTCAAAATAGAAATATTTACACAAAGGATTTGAGATATTATTTTCCTGTCAAGTTTGTGCGTTAATCAGAGGCAATGAGTATTAATATGATATAGACAGGCCTTTCATCATTCTTTTTGACAGACTGTGAGTGTCCGGGTAATGAGGGCCCATTGAGATGACAAACACAAATTTTAACAGTGATGCTCTAAATCATTTCAAAACCCTTAACATATATCTCTAGCTTCCAGATGAGGGGCTAAACAAAAAACATTACAAAAAAAACAACAACTCGAGTTTGGGTTATATGAAGCAGATAGATCAGCAGAATTACAGCCAATCTATTTTAATATCTGAACCATTTTTATCTGCTTACTGGCATGAACAAATGAAAACAGTTTCAATGATTTAAGAAAAACACTTACAAATGGCTATGTTGCACACTCTTCTGATGACAAATTGGACATAAACATAAATAATAACCCTCTTTTCCAATGCATTATTAAAAAACTGCAAGAAATATTCTCTGAATAAACACAATAAAATGACATCACAGTACAAGGATGATGGTATATGCTTCCATGACAACAGAACAGTCAGGTTAAATATTTCAATGCAGTTCAGGGGATAGAAAACTTTTAATCCCATTTAAATTTTCTTAACAAATCAAACTTTGAGCCCTAACTCTCATTCAAATCAAATACAGAATATCAACTGTTGGCGAGAGGGTTTCTCATTCACTTTTGTCAAAAAATAGCACTAAGCTGTTTGCTCACAGCCATTCAGTGTTTGATGAGTCACACTGACATTGCGTTGGATGATGTATACTGGAAACTAACTTGTTGTTGCAACACATCCACATGTATTTGTAAGGCAGAAACAAAAGAATTTTGGAAGTATTTGTACTTCATGTTTTCGTTTATACTACTCAAAAGACGTTCAGAATCTCTTGATTTTTTTCATATTGTCAAAGTTTATCTCTCGCAATATGACACATTAAGTTAATAATCGAGTCTGGGCCAGACAATCCAGTGATCAACAGCATGAGCATCGATCTGCGCAATTGGGAACCGATGACATGTGTCAGCCAAGTCAGCGAGCCTGACCACCCAATCACCTCTTACGACAAGCAAAGTCACCTTTTATGGCAAGCATGGGTTGCTGAAGACATATTCTACCCCGGAACTTCATGGGTCGATTTATCCACTAACTTGGGGGAACTAACTGCAAACCTTATGCAGATGAATTGCACGAGGATCATGCATCAAATTGCTGAAAGACATGTGCAAATATCATGCATGTGCACAGCTGTGTTTTGGTGTAAAGTTTTGATAGGAATTTGCCTATTTTCACTAATTTTTATCATTTATTGAACTCATGACAATAATCTTTTCAACGTTACAAATTTGTTTTACAATACATCAGTTCACGTTTTATGGAATATTTTGCAAAATTAAGTTCAGAACATCTGCCTGAAGTAAGTGGCTATATTTACACTAGTGAGTCTTACACCTGGCTTGTTTTCTTACACCTGGCTTCCGCTTGTAGAGTGCTATAGTATTTATGACTATACACAACAGTGATTTGTTCCTTTATCTGAATATGTATTCATTTCAATGATGTCTGTATTGAAAATTCCATGTTATCTTTTACATGTATTTTGGGAGACAAATGAAGTATTATCTTATATTCTTTTAAGTGGCATATGGTATGGTGTGTTAACTAATAAGTGATTACTTCCAGCATATTTGGTAATCACTGGAGCAAAACACAATTGGCACCTTTTGCTTTATGTCTACGTGCTCATTTTATCATCTGCATTGAGCCTTCAAGAGAATCAACGCTAAATTCAACCCAAAGCTTCAAACTGGACATGCTCTAAACTGCACGTAATAGCTTAAACAATCATTCTGATCCCTGATGCAATAAATTCCACACACAGACAACCCCACTCCAGATGCTGCACTTAAAGAATTAATGAAAAGTGCTGACAAAGGCTTCATGCAACATCAAGCCATCTTGCAGTGGAGTCTTGTTGAACACAATGGCCACAACACGTGTTCCTGGTTCCTCTGAATACCACAACACAGAGGCAATGACATGTGAACTTTAGACTGAATCGTCTTCACATCTGTTGCCATGGGAGCATAAAGGGCAAAGGGAGAGAACTCATCGAGGATTACCTTCTGCTAACATGTGTTCCCCATTTGTAAAGCTTACACATTCAATGGAATGGTGATGACAAAGCATACAGAATTTTCTGCTTGCTTACTCACATTAACCTGTTTATATACCTGCTGGTTACCTGGCAACGTAGAGATACTCTCAAATACATGTCATTCACAGTACACTGCAGCTATTCTTGCCCCAATCCTCTAACCCCTAATCATAAAAACATCTAGTGTTTTGTTTTCTAACAACTTGCTTTGTGGACCGGACTGAACTAAACCAATTTACCCTTTAATTTGCTACTCTAGAGATGAAATGATCTTCAAAGTAGGCCAATTTTGAATATGAAGTAAATCTTTAACCACACCAACTTTGAAAAACAAAAAAAATAATACCAGAAAATTGCTTTGGATATTCAGATTTTGTTAACTTTCAGCTTCTAGTCCACAAATCAGAGAACAAAGTAACTAATAAACAGGACTTGTAGTTGTATATATCTTCCATCTTAACTAGAAGAGGACATTACGGATGTGATAATCTCTGATCATGTTCAATGAATATTGTATTATTACTATGATTACTAAAATTATGTTAATAACCATGACTGCACAGAAAGTTTAATAAAGAAATTGGCCCTTTTCTAAATGAGATTTCTCTCATTGTCCATGACATGGTCAAGTTGCTGTCCATCATCTAACAGATGACTGGTAGGGCCACTGCTGTAACCTTGGATGCTGCTGACTGATAATAACTGTAAACAATAAATAATGAATACACACTGTTATTTAGAAAGTGGTCAAGTGTAACGTATGTTATATTTTGGGATTACACTTTCTTAGCACACACTGTTGTCACCCGTTAATAAGGTTCTCTGTATACACTTACATTCAGTGATGAAAAAGTTAAGTAGAGTTATGATGGCCGTGTGTCCACTGAACATATAGTCTCCGCAGGTCCGGACTCCCTGCAGGGTCATACCACATCCCTTCCAGATCTCAAAAGCCCTCTCCAGCTTTGTCCAGAAGCTGCCGTAAGTCTGAAAGGGAAAGATCAATTGGTAAGAGTGGGAATCACAAGTTGCTGTTCTGTTTGTACAGATCCTGTAGTCATCAATATTGCATATAACATAACAGCCTGTAAGTAATTCAGGCAAACAAGGGATTGATATCATGAGGGACATCACACTGCTGTGACATCATCATGATCATTCAAACTCTTTAAAGTTGAGTGAAGTATTCCATGTCCAGTGAGTGAGTGAGTTTAGTTTTACGCTGCACTCAGCAATATTCTAGCTATATCAATTATCATGTATATGGTGGCGGTCCGTAAATAATCGAGTCTGGACCAACCAATCCAGTGATCAACAGCATGAACATCAATATGCTCAATTGGGAACCGATGACATGATTCAACCAAGCCAGCAAGCCTGACCCCCTGATCCCGTCAACATCCAGAGATGCCAACCCCAAAGTGTTGCAAATAGTAGTTTCAAGGATCAAAATTAGTAGTTTGACCATAAAATTAGTAGTCAACTAAATACTTAAAATCATATGAGAGTAATCAAGAGTGAAGCTTTCATTTCACATTTCTCCAACAGCAGATTTCCAAATTATCAGCATTACATTTCGTCTTGTCGCCTCTTTTTGCCGAAAATGTATTTAATCGACGAAAAATGTATGTTCTTGTCTATATATCCGAATCTTAATGAATTTTTTAAAAATTTTGTAGAATTTTTAGTGCAATCGTATTGGCATAGTTTGAGGCTAAAGTTCATAGCGGCTACGATAAAAGCGTAGAGGTTGGCATCTCTGCAAGTCTTCAGACAAATTAGACAAGTTGTTCAAAGAGCCCGAAATATTATTACCGTTAGCTACCAGATCAATCTTTAAATCAGATCTTTCACTCTAATAAACTCCTCGTTGTGAGTTACCTTAAAAATATTTGTTTCTGATTGCTTAATTGTGATTTGTTATCATGGATTCCACTGACATGCAAAGTCAATGAAATATACCCTGCTTTGAAATGCCAAACTTTTACCAGTGCTAATAATATGATTTTATTACCTTAACCCTGAGAACCAAAAAAATACAGTTTGGTGAACCGAACCATGTTAAATGAACAAATCCATCAGTAGTGAGAGAGTGAGTTTAGTTTTCTGCCTCACTCAGCAACATTCCAGCTATATGGTGGCGGTCTGTCATCACTAGTGTTGGGAATTGGTTGAAATCTCACAATTGATCATTGCTTCATTACCAACGAACAATCATCGATCATCGCAAAAACTTGGTTAGCGTCATTTTTCAGATTTTCCTATCCAGGTTGTTATTGCAGAAAAGCATAACATGATGCAACTTGCTACTTTAAAGTGATGACTAATATATCATGAACATAGACTTCCTGGAGTCTTAGAGAAATATTCAGTCATGACTTTTCAGCTAGTGAAGTGAGTTTTCTAAGAATTAAACATGTTTTCAGGCCCTGACAACTTCTAAGATATGTTCCATTGTCAAGTATTTCAAAGACTAAAACAGTAGTTCCAAAATCGTTTCTGTTCGATTATGAGAAAATGTGATCGATTGCTTGGTCGTTTGGTCACTGATTATTTCAATTAATCGGAACACCACTAGTCATCACAATCTAGTGATCAACTGCATGAGTAACATTCTACTCAAAAAAGAATCAATTGGGACATGATGACATGTGTCAACCGATTCCTTAAGTCGCCTCTTACGACAAGCATGGGATCTTCACGGGTTACATCCATCAGTAATGCAATGGTGGCAACTAATAACTAATACAGCTGAATGAGCAGGATGTGCTTACCTTGCCACTACATTGAAGGTGTGTTCCAGGTACAGACAGGGAGGTGATGAACATTGTAATACATCGCAGTAGGAAGATTGTACCAGCCAATGAAAACATCCTCCTCATCAAGATGAATCTAGTAGAAAAGGAGATAAGTGAATATCAACTGAACATCATCATTAAGCTTCAGAATGACCTTGACACGTGACTCATTCCATTTGAGAGTGAGATTCAGGGAAACAGATCAAAGGGGCTTAATCAATGTAAAAGATTTGTTAGTTGTTCAGTACCACACCCTGATATATTCCAGCTATATGTCAGCCCGTAAGTCTTGGCCATACAAACCAATGAGTCACATAACTATGAATATCCAACACGGTGAGAGTACTATGACATATCATGAACCACTTGATCAAAACTGATCATCCAATCCATTGGTTGCCTTGTTCGACCAGTATAGAATGTTAGGGATCATATTTATCCTGGCAAACACATCTCGGGCTGTATCGTTTAGAAATTGAAGACCATTAATGTTTTCTTGTTTAACGCCACACTCAGCAATATTGAAGCAGTATGGGGGCGGCCTGTAAATAATCGAGTCTGCACCAAACAATCCAGTGACTGACATCATAAGCATTGATCTACAACAATTGGGATAAGGGGAGGTGAGGTGAAATTGGGTTTTACGTCGTGCTTGAGAATATTTTGCTCATTTAACGACGTGCATGCGTGTGTATGTGTATGAGTGACTGCTTGTACTAGCCCAGAATTAAGCTGGTTTTATAGTGCTAGCCCACTGAGATACCATACCGCAGTGAAGCATGAATACCCCACTCAGGCACATTATACTGACTCTGAGTCGACCAGTCCTTGTTGTACCCATTAATGTCGAACGCCAGGCAGGGACCAACAAGTACCATATTTTAACGTCTTTTGGTATGACGCGGTCGGGGACGCTCTAACCACTACACCACGGAGGCGGTCAACTGGGATACGATGACATGCATCAACCAAGTCTGTGAGCCTGACAACCCGATCCCATTAGTCGCCTCGTACTACAAGCAAGGGTTGCTGAAGACCAATTCTAACCCCGATCTTCACGGGTTTGGAAGGTTACTAGCCTATTCTGAAGCCAAAATGGTCAGTGAGTAAGGCCCCTATCAATCTGAAACAATCAAGTTCATAAGATCAAACATAAGATAATGTATGAATGCTTGCATTAACCTACCTGTGTTTGTGGAAGAACAGGATTGAACACCACATCAAAGACAGAGTTAATCCAACCAACTCGCAGGCTTCAAACGCCCATGACACGTACGGCATATTATCCAGGAAGAAGTCTGGTAAAGGTGGAAACTTCTGCATGTCAGGGACTCTGTCATGCACTACCACCATCACAAACGATGTCAAGAGAGTCACCGAAAACACATACACAAAACTCAGAACAGTCTTCCAGATCTCAGGGTCAAGGCTCTGGGAGCATCTCCCTCGAAGATTCGGACTACCCATGGCACTCTGGGCATATTCCCAGTCACTGTTGTTGTTGCTGATGTTGAGACGAGGAGGGGTGTAGATGTTGCTGCGGTTGTCACCAACTGAGCCATTGAGATGTACAAAACTGCGGAGCTCAGCCTGGTTTTCCTGATGAAGAATGTTGATCTTGATGACAAGTCGTTTGACGTCACCCAGTACTGGGATGTTGAGGGGGAGGCCGTCTCAGGTCATCTTCTGTGAGAGACAACAGCGCCAAACCATCGATCTTGTGTTCTTCGCACAACAGTTGTCTGTAGCGTGTGAAGTTGTTTGCCTGCAGCCAATATTCGACGTCCTCACAGGACCAATTGACTACGTCCGTCATCACACTGTAACAAAACAAGTTTTCGAACATTAAATGTGAGGTGAGGTGAGGTGAGGTGAAAGAGGGTTTAACGTCAGACTTAGGATTATTTCGCTCATATGACAACGTGCATGCGTGTGTATGTGTATGAGTGACTGCTTGTACTAGCCTAGACTTAAGCTGGTTTTATAGTGCTAGCTCACTGAGATACCATGCCGCAGTTTGGCATGAATACCCCACTCAGACACATTATACTGACACCGAGGCGACCAGTCCTTGTTGTACCCATTAATGCCTAGCGCCAGGCAGGGACAAGTGAATAAGTACCATAGTTTAACGATTTTTGGAATGACGCAATCGCAGGTCGAACCCGCAATCTCTACACCACTATACCACGGAGGCAGTCAAACATTAAATGTACATGAGAAGGACAATATCATGCAAATCTGAAATTCCAGTGGCCAATAGTGGAGAAATTATACAACAAGATCACACTACGATAGGTATGGTTTGATGTGTATTGTGATCCAAATATTTGCATTAATTCATCCAGAGTTTTTTCCTGTAAATAATTTTTGAGCAGATAACCAGATTCTCCCATCATACCTTGAATAAAAACTCAATAAAAATTCTGAAATTGTCTGCAGTACATTTGAAAATATTTTATGGTCCAGTTTCTTCTATGTCAGGTCATAACATGTACACAAACAGTACAATGTACACTATCTGGACCTTGTAAGTGAGTGTCTTACTGAACAGTACATGCAAGGGGAATTTTAAGTTCTGTAAGTTTATTCAGCTATGTGCTTTTTAATTTGTTTTACAACCGTAATGTTTTACATTGTGACTGAGGGTTCAGCCCCCACTAACTTTTGGCTGTTTAGCAATCTGACCATGTTGACATAATCATAATAGCAGGGAGCATAAAAAGGGGTCCCACATGACAGTTGATGGCTGTTCATATAACATACATGTCATTGTGGACAGATATTAAGCCATAAATATGTCATGTGTTGATGGAGGGGAGAGCAAGGGCGAGGCCAACTGGTTAAAGCTTTGACTTGACTTGCCAGAGATCCTGGATTGATTCTGACATTGCAACACTGTGTGAAGCCTGTCTCTGGTTTTCCTCCCAAATGATACTGCTGGCAGATTGCGTATCAAATTATCTACTTGATTTTCAACTCACTGAAAACAAAAACTGCAATGACAGTTTCCTTCTTTCTTTACTTCGGGCAAAACACCATGTACAACATGTACAGTCTTCCAGGACATTAACACTGACTGACTGACTGAGTTTAGTTTTACGCCGCTTGTAGCAATATTCCAGCAATATCACGGCGGGGGACACCAGAAATGGGCTTAACACATTGTGCCCATGTGGGGAATCGAACCCGGGTCTTCGGCGTGACGAGCCAACGCTTTAACCACTAGGCTACCCCACTGCCCCCCAGGACATTAATAGTTCATTGGACTCACATGCATCAAACTTAATGTGTCAGCATGACTTGAAAAGTTTGTTAAAAACATAATATCAAAAATATGCTAATCACTCACTTTATTCTTAACATTGGGTAAAAATGTAATGAATAATTGATTGTGGTCTAATCATACTGATAGTTATTGTAACTGCAGCTAATTTGACTATAGTAACTAAATCAATGTTTTTTAATTAGTCTTGTAAAGAATACTTTGTGAATGTCTACAACATGGTGAGAGTATACCTTTTAAAATGTTCATTTTCATAAACGATACATACACCACATAAAACACATAAATCATGTAAATGTAACGGACATGTGGATGAATATTATAGTCAAGTATTATTACATACATACATACATACATACATACATACATACATACATACATACATACATACATACATACATACATACATACATACATACATACATACATACATACATACATACATACATACATACATACATACATACATACATACATACATACATACATACATACATACATACATACATACATACAAATAAATAACACAATCTGCAACCAACCAGTGATTCTCAGCCTTGTCGACTACAATATAGTAGAAACCATCACAAAGGTCATGTTGCAATCAAACAGCTTAGCCGAACATAACATGTTGATGAATATGACGAGATATTTCCTGACCTTTGGACTAGCCTATAAAATTGAGCTTCAAACCACCTTTGACCTTACTGACCTTTGGGCATAGGATCTACTGACCAGGTGAACAACACCTTCACTGTACAGGAATGTGGGACTGGGGTATTGATAAAGAAATGGCCTTCCAAGTCTTATTACTGTCACACTGGTCAGATTGCTTGGATAAGATTTCATCAAGCATAAATAAATTCATACCTTACAAGACAGTTATCTCTCATTGGGGTTATACATTATATACCTGTTTCTAGGCAGACTTGTTCATTTGTTTCACAGCTTACATGGTTGAGAATGTGTTTGATTAAAAATAAGCCTTTTTTACATTTATTGTGGCCTTTTTATTATTGTCATACTGGTTAGATTACTGGGATAAGATTACATCAAGCATTAATGACTTCATACTTTACATGACAATTATCTACCACAGGGATTACACATAACATACATTGTGTCTAGGCAGACTAAGTTTGTTTATTGGGTTCACAGTTAACGTGGCTGATAATGTGTTTGATTAAAAATAAGCCTTTTCACTTCGTTTTTCAAGTGGTTAGTTGTAATATTTTTATCATGCGGATAGTCAAGAGATGTTTTTAGCAATTCCTCCTATCATTTAGTATACTGAACAAGTACAGATAAAAAAGAAACACTGGTCTGATGTTACCGTTATGAACAAGGTTCATTTACCGGTTTAAAAATTGAAAAATACCACATGGATATTCAAATATTCATGAATATTCAAATATCCATAATATTCAATATTCAAATATTCAAGTAAAATCATGTTTAACATTACCATTTTAATGATTTTTGTTACGGTAGAACAAGGAGTAAATTAAAATTAATTCCATTAACTATATTGTTGCTTTTGGCTCCTGCTGGCCAAATCTGTAAAAAGAAAATCTAATAAGTGTTGTCTAAAGTCATGTTGTTTAACAGAGCCCAATAAGAACAGGAAACCCAACAGCAACAGTAATTTCCTGCACCAGATACAATCCTATTACTAAGTCGTAAAAGTGAAGGATGTTTGCTGTTACAGAGAGGCCTAGAATTGCACAAGTCCCTACGGCAATAATGAGTTTAAATAATAATTTCTAGATTATAAAATAGATAAGCCCAAATTACCCATATATAAGACTTGCATCCTTGTACTGTTCGTTTATCTAGTCTTGCCTATCTTAAGGACAGAATTACAACACATCCACCGACTTATCACTTAGTACAGCCTTGAAGCAAGGCTGACAGAGCTGCATTGATTACAAGGCTCCCAGAAAACACCACTGATGGAGATTAATACACTGGGTCCATGCTAGGTAATTGATTGGAGGGCTTGGAGGCAACGTGTTTTGGTCTCAGTGGTGGGTGGAACCAGCTGGAAGAGCCACATGTTCTACTACATTACCAGGATTATCCAACACAAATAATCCTTATGTTGGAAACTGACAATATCAGATACCTCTTGCATGAAGCCTTTTGGGGTTGTAAAATATTCTTTATATATATGGTGGCAAACTTGACCAAAGCTTGTGAAATCTGATGTTTACCACCACTTAAAGATCTACAAGTCAGATACTGAATAAACTGAGATGACACTTGCCAAAAAAAAACGAGAAAAAAAATACTTTTACAAACTGATTATAAGTCTTGACTGTCACCTGTGGACATTGATCAAATGTTAGTGACAATTACATAGTTATTTCAAATAATTTGAATTGCATTTTGTTAATACAGTGTTTGCCATGAAGCAGAAAACCTGCATCTCCCTCTCATGACACAAGGAGTCATGATGACTCCTAAATATTTATGCATGGATGCAGAAAACCTGCTTATTTGACTCTCCAAAACATGTCCATGTCATGATGACTCCTAAATTTTTATGCCCAGGGCAAACACTGTTAATGACATCTGAACATGACACACAGTAACTGAGTGCATGTAATATATATGACAACTCATTTGCTTATTGACCAGCTTGACTACTGGACTCAATCTGTTCTATACATAATGACATGTCTCTTATATCAAGCCATTCTGATCGTTGAAACTTCAGCATATTATTTTATTTGTTGTTAGTGCAACACTCAGCAATATTCCAACTTTACAATATAAAGATGTATATATATATATATACATAATTAAGTATGGACCTAACAAACCAGTGATTGATATTGTGATCAAAACTCAGCGACACCTCGGTAGGATCACACACTATCAACCAAGTCTCAAAATCTGACCACTCAACCCGTTAAGTTGCCTCTTCAACCAGTCCCCTTCAACCAGCAAAGGCTGACCTACTGAACACTTAATCCATGAGGGGATGATAAATCATCATGTGAAACAGATACTTGTACTTTGAAAGGCATTTAATCATAAATACAGGCTTAACACACAAACAGTACTCACACTGATTAAACTGAGTGAGTTTGGTTTTACACCACTTTTAGCAATATTCCAACAATATCATGGCGGGAGACACCAGAAATGGGCTTCACACATTGTACCCATGTGGGGAATTGAACCCAGGTCTACGACGCTTTAACCACTAGGCTTCCCCACTGCCCCCTGATCATGCTGATTAAAGTGCACTACTACTTATTACATAACACAAACATTGATCAAAAAGGACTTACATATTAGCTTGCCACATGAATTGTCAATTTTAAAGACAAGGTTATGTGTACCACCATGATCAGGAGTATGTTTGTCCCAATCATAGGCATGATAGAGTTAACCAAATGCAAGGTAGTGTTGCAGGTACACAGCAATAATCACTAAAGGTTGACATGGTGAGATGATAAATGTGTGAGCATCAATAGTAACTGTACAAAGAGATAAAGAGTTACTATGGTAACCAACATCAGTTGCTGAAACAGAAGATTCCACAGAAGATTGAGAGGCAGTTTGCACAGCATGTGATAAAGCACACCTTAATATCAATGGCAGATGCTTTTATTCTGAATCCTATGCACTTTATATTGACTCCAAATTGTCCAGAGAATATATACAGTTGTCACACAAAAATAATTTCTGTTTGTCGCTTAAAGCTTAAATTTTTCAGCTATATGATGGTGTTCTGTAAATATCGAGAATGGGCCAGGTAATTCAATGACTGAGATCATGAGCATCGAACTAACCATTTGGGATACACACACATGCACCAAACAATAATAGGCTTGCGTTGCTGAAGACCAAATCTAATCCAGATCTAATCCATGAGAAATATATAGACAAACAGAACTCAGCATTATGTAATGGCATCATGATGTAACAAGTCAAATACACTGCTAGTCATTTGGGTTGAACACAGTATTTCAGTTACATCACAGCCATGACACGGATTTAAGTGTTGTAAAGCAAAGAGATATTGTTTGAAGATGTTCCCCACTTTGATGAAACTTATGACCCTGGCAGATCTAAGGAATAGATTTCTGCACAGGGCATGGGGATCCTTTTCATTGCGCTTACTGGCTTGGGCACTTATTATTGCAGGGATAGAAATGAAAGGTTTTTAAAGGGTGCCATGGGGCACTAGATACATCATTTACGTGTGCCTTTATAAAAATAAGTATGCCCATAACTTTCGATGAGCCAATTAAATATTTAAAAATCACAACAATTATGTCATTTCAATTTATTGTTTAATAATCAGTAAACATTTAAACCTGTAAACTTGAGAACTGTATTTTGTGAACACTATCATGGCCTGCAAGAACAGTTCAGATTCATTTGTCCTGAACCTATAATCTAACCCATAATCAACCAAAAGGAGATTTCCTGTTATGTGCAATGGCATTCAAAATGGCCACGCCCATGTAGTCCCATTTTAAGCCCTGTACTGACTGTATGGATTGGTGACCAGTGGATGTCAAAATGTAAAAGCAGATCAGTACACTCGTAGGTATGACCTCAGAGCTCACTAACTCAAGCTCACAACTAACACTTGGGATGAGATGCCTACCCTGTTAAGCATGCTGACAATGAATGTGTAAAGGGGTGTCTTTAAAGCAGGGGGTGCCAAACCCTGAGAATAGCAAAAGGTGAAAGCTGTCATATAGCTGTAATATTGTTAAAGGTCACATGCAACCAAAAAATCAAACATAATTAAAACACAATTATCACTTATTCGTGATATACATATACATTGCTGATTATGAAAAAAACATATAAACAAAATTATAAGCGTACAATCACAAATCAAAAGTGCAATATTTTGTACTTGGGTTCACTTCGCTTGAAACGAAGCAGCCGGGATACCAAACCCAGTCAGAGCGGGTGGGTGTGCACTCAAGTGTAACGGCTGCTTCATTTGCCGATACCCTCACGGCTCATTGTGTGTGTATATATAGAGATGTTGGGTTTTGTAAATACATGCTCATTTTTTGTGTATAACATTTTGCAATCAACAGACATCATAACATGTCATGTGTACAAGTATCACACCTGCATGTCTGTGCAAATACATAATGTGACAGAGACCGAACTCGGGCCATAAATCAATGCGTTTTGTTTATGGTGTATAGCCTGATTGGTGTTAAGTTCAAATTGCATGTGTTGTCAGTGATCGAAGTTGTGTATTGAATATTGTCATTAGCAGACAGGCAGGCAGACACATAGGTGTCAATAAAACAGACATTGAGTTTTGTCTGTGACAACAACATATCTATATCACAGTTAGAAATTCTGTCAACGCTAAATAATGACATTGCTTTTAAGTATCGAACTGAGAAAGTGACTCAGTAAGAAGAACGTGTGGTGAAATAGACAAATGAAATTATATAAACTGTTAAATCGGTAATCTACTGTCATTACATATAAAAAGCTCGTGCCTGTGAAATAACAAAACATTAGAAAAATAGCTCACACCAAAGCCTTCACAGAGTATTCACCGCCAGTGAAGCTTTTCCGTCTTGAAATGTCGAACGCCTCACTGGTTGACACATAGCTGAGTAGATCTAGATCCTAACAAGGTTCTTTTATGTCATGAGTAGATTATTTACTATTTGTTTTGATTAGACTACTCCTGCTCACGACCTTATAATCCGGACAACCTTCCAAGCTGCGCGAACCTGTTTCACTGCACATGTGCTATGAGCGCAGCCCAGCCCAGCTGTTGAAACCACTTTTACCCCAAGCTCTGGGGGAAAATTAGTGAATTGTTTGAACTCCGATTTCGCGCGGTTTTTTCATCGCGTTATTTTTCCACTTTATAAGTTGAATTTGCATTTTTGATGATTTGTTTCGGTAAGTCCATACCGAAAGGTATCAGAATCTGCAAAGTTGTGTTTGTGACCTTTAAATGTGGTGTTAAACAGTAAACCTAAGCAAACAATACTGGTGCTCAGTCGCAACTGGGATCCAAGGCTTAAAAGGAAAAAAACACTCAGAAGTATAGGAATCTGGATTGGCTTATATTTACCAGATTCAGAAATTGCTTTGGACTTGATTTCACATGTGTTTGGCGATAATATTGCTGCACCATCGGAGGAAGTTGAGTGAGAAACCTTGTTATCATAACAAAAGCTATAGAATACGGAAATAAGAGCTGCACCACACCGTCACATGCTATTATTGTTGATTAGTGTATCATGTGTATTGCTGATGCTGTCGTCAACATCATATCATGGGAAAAACTACATCTGATCTCTTCAGAGAATTTAGATTATGGAACAGGTGATAAAAAACAAAACTTAACTATAATCCTCTGGATACCCGATTCTACTTGTGGACTGACTGACTGAGTTTGGTTTTACGCCGCTTTTAGCAATATTCCAGCAACATCACGGCGGGGAACACCAGAAATGGGCTTCACACATTGTACCCATGTGGGGATTCGAACCCGGGTCTTCGGCGTGACGAGCCAACGCTTTAACCACTAGGCTACCCCACCGCCCCCCAGGACATTAATAGTCCTCTACTTGTGGAAGATTGCATAAATAAAGCAGTAGCCACACAAAGAAAGACATTGTTGAAGTTGTGTGATAAGCAAATAGCCTATGTATCTATGCATAACCCCAAGAATCTAGAACTTTTCCATAACTTTAGATAAATGTTCTATTTCAAATGCTGATGTTAAAATGAATTGAATTACATATGGCCAACAGGGTGCGATTTCGCTATTTACAACCTGCACTGGTGCATGTTCAATATGGCTTCTGCAGGTTATCTTCAGTAACGGGTTGCATATATCTGGTGCAGCCAACAATAAATCCTCCAACATCTTATAGCTGTAATCATGTGCTTTAATTATGAAGTAAATAACTGGAAGTAATCGTTTCTCTCGAAAATATTATTGGGAAGTAAGTGACTGGAAGTAATACGTTTCTCTCCATGACTGGTTACAAGCAGAAACCTTTGTGTACTCATTAATCAGTTACACAGCACATTCTTGTGTGTGTGCTGACATGGTAGTAACATTTTTTCTCAACTACAGGAATGATAAGGTAATAAGTAGATCTAAGCCAGTCAAAACTTTCCAAAAACAAGTTATTTCTTGAATGGAAAGAATCACGAATGTGAAAAACAACCTCGCTGAAATCATTTTTCACATCAGGTGCAAGCAATAAATCAACCAAGGAAGCACCTTACAGTCTCACATCTGCCGATAATGTTGGACCCTAATAGATCCAGTGGTGATAAGCATAAATAAAACATACACAAAATCATAGCATTTTCCTACAACTGATTGCTATTGCTGGTTATTTTGGACATTCTTGAGGTCTCACGTTTTTATTGTTACTGAAATAAATGAAATTATAATGCAAATATCATAGTTTCAACCTACAGATATTGTAATTTGTAGGTGTTCATCTTACCCTGTTTTGTGAATGTATCCATCCATATCCACATAAATGAAAAAGTCACATACATCTAAAGTTGTATTAATACTCTTGATGGTCTATCAAATGATCACATAAGGGGTTTTCCAAGTGTTATACAAAGTTGTCATATCTTACTGGTCATATGAGCCCATGTAACAACTATCCTCGGAAAGAGTTCCTTTCGTTCCCCCATATTTGTTTGGTAACATTGCTGTGTGTGGGGCCCATTATCATACAATGTGGTTCAACCCTATATATTGTTATTAATTTTGGGACTTTTAGTTATTATTGTGAGTTCTCTAGTAATTGTTGTGTTAGGTTTTGTCAATAGATTTAGTATATATTAATTTATACATATTATTTGGGATGGAGGAACGGGAGGAACTCTTACCCAGTGGAATATTGTTCAGTTGGTCCCCGTTCAGTTTTGCCCTGAATTATTCTAGTCAAGGCATTGAGGACGCTTGCGTACATGTGTTATAATGTCATAACAGCTCAGTGTTAGGGCGTTGAACAACTTTGGGATGGTTCAGTATTGAAACTGCTATTCCTGTTCGTTCTCTAGATTTATCAATGAATATATATCCAAATATGCCTTGAGGTCAATAAAGAAAGTGTACTTGTTTAATCATGATAAATACATCGTTTCACCAACTTCAGGAAGTTCTCCATACGTTGAATATGGTGAACTAACATAGGCATGGCGTAGGCTGTAAAGTCACATTGAGAGTGGGATCAAATTTATCTCGTTAAGGAGAGAGTGTACTAAAACTAAATATACAAATTGTCGAAACTAAAGACAACTTGTGTCGATATACCAACCGAATTGTCTACTGAATGTTCACAGTCCAAAATGCTGTCAACATGTGCCACACGAGTGTATCATCACTGTCATGTTGTTTTCATTGCTCGTGTTAACCGGAAGCGGAAGTTAATGCTGGTATCATGGGCATTGATATATACATTTTTTAGTCTAAAACATTTATTCGAAAATAATTTCACCAAACCATATCATACTGAATAATAATGAAAATACGTACTTACATACCGGCAACAATATATTTTGTAAATAAGAACACCCTGGTGACGTAAGAGACACCCCCAGTCCTTTTGCAGTGGTGACCTTGTTGGAAGCTTGCAAGATCAGGTATGGACCTTATGATAAATGGAATGTTAATGCAAATTCATTTAGTTTCGTTAAATGTACTATGCGTGCGTTAGTCTGCCACCAACGTTCGACTCTGGGGCAAAATTGATTGAGCCAAGATAACTGAGACAGCAAAATTGTCACGTCGGGAACAACATGGCAGTGTTGAGAAAAAGCAGGCATTGCGTTGTTGGATGTGGTAACCAGCAGGCTTATTCCAACATTCGTGTCATTTTGCCTTCTAGTGATGTTCTGTTCACTAATATAGAATGAATGGTGGCAAGTGACGTGTCATTTTTACTATGCGATCTGTCACTGCTAATATAAATGATCTTCCGAAGCCTTCTGTTCCATGCTTGATGCAGGATCCATTACAGGTGACTCGGCTCCGCCGGCTTGGAGTGTCGTTAAAGGGTTATATTTTTCTTAAATATATCGGGGTGTTGCTGTTGAATTTCTCTGATGATAGTACACTGAATCAAATATTATCAATCGTCTTTATCGCCCCTTGAGTTGCATGTCCTCAAGTATGACATTGGAAAAGCCGACATGGTTGCCTTTCAAAGGGAGGGCACTCTAGGTAGGCCCATTGAGACAAATGGCACAAGGCATTTGAACTAATGTTGTACGGACATGGGAAAGACGTCTGCCCGTATTCCCCCTGAATTTTAACGGTGAGGGAATAGAGTTATACATATTTAGGTAATATTATTTGACTTTAAGCCATAAAATACGTTTTAAAATGACATTGTGCATACAGACATTAAATAATCAGGATTAGGCTTAGTGTTAAGAGGGGATACTGGCGGATCTTTCCAAAACCAGTGGTTACTGGCGAAAATCTTTCCCAAATAGTTACCCTGATGGTCAGGCTGAAGTGACTAAAAATGAAGGTCAAGCAAAAACAACCTGTCAGGGTTACAACAGCTGGAAGTTTGCTGAGTGCAGCGTTTAAGAACAAACAAGCAAAAACAACAGCCTATATATGTTCTGCATTTTAGTAGGTGCGCTTTTTTTCTATTTTGAGTTATGCTTATCTTCACAGGGATTCCTGACACGAAAATTAATGCTAGTTAATGGCAACTAAATTAATTCATGATGAGTTCTTTGCATGTTCTCATATTCCAATTCTAATAACAATAACATGAATGTTTGGTCAGGAGTCAATTATTTACATTCCTCTATCATGTTTAAGCAGACATATTGCTGAATGTGGCATTTTAGCACAAAATGAAAACAGTCCATTCAGTTTGTTCATTTATATTATTATATTTATTTTTCTGAAAAAATCTGGATTTGTTTGGCTCATCAAACACCCTTAAGTTGGCGTATTAAGTGCAGTCAAGTTTTGCAGAGCTCAGGTATTTATCTACAACTGTACAAAAGCGAATATTCGGCTCAAGTTAAATGTCAGGAAAACTTACTGTACATGACATTGTATTGTCAGTAAAAATTCACATTTTAAAATAAATATGTCACTAGATCAGGCTACTACAGTAATAAAATTTTTGGGTTCTAAAAGTGACTTGTGTTGCACTGATCACAGGACCAATGAACCAGAGGAGGCTTTATTACTTACTATTTGCCTTTTTCCTTCGAATGAAATATTGAAATGCCCAACTATTTTAGATAGGACCTTTCACAACAATCCCAATTCAAAACAAAGTTAAATTTCGCCACGTTTGTCAATTGAGGGGTATATATTTGGAAGCCAACATAAAATCCTGTATTTGTTAAGCTGAAAAAAACGCCTCCGTGGTGTAGTGGTTAAAGCGTCCGCCCGATGAGCGGAAGGTCGCGGGTTCGATCCCCGACCGCGTCATACCAAAAGACGTTAAAATATGGTACTTGTTGGTCCCTGCCTGGCGCTCGGCATTAATGGGTACAACAAGGACTGGTCGGCTCGGAGTCAGTATAATGTGCCTGAGTGGGGTATTCATGCTTCACTGCGGCATGGTATCTCAGTGGGATAGCACTATAAAACCAGCTTAAGTCTGGGCTAGTACAAGCAGCCGCACATACACACGCATGCACGTTGTCATATGAGCGAAATATTCTCAAGCCCGTCGTTAACCCAATTTCACCTCACCTCACCTCAGCTGAAAAAGCTGGAGACTAGAACAGGAAAATATGCTGTTTTTTTGTCTTTATGAATACAATTAACTTCTTATTTGTGTTCCATTGCAGATTACAGTAATGGCTCCTCCCGGATATTCTGACCTTGGAAAATCAGCAAGGGATCTTTTCTCTAAAGGCTTTAGTGAGTACTTATGGGCTGATATTAGGCAACAAGTGGAAATATATTCTCTTGAGATTAAATCTTGAATATTTGTCCCTGCTGAATTCAGTAGCCACTGTGAGTTTAATATATTCTGCAATCACATTGCACTAAGTTCTGTGATGTTTTAGTTTTATTTATAGTGGTATTTTGTTTTTAGTTATGACTGTAAATGTTATTTTTGTGTTTGCATGTATCAGGGTTCCCACAAGACCTGGAAAACCTGGAAATTTCACCCCCCATCTTCTACTTCCAGCCTTTAAAAAAATCTTGGGATTTGAAAAAAAATGGATGAAATCATGGGAAAAGCATGGAATTATCTTGGGGTTTTTTTTATCACAGAACTGTCTATCTTACCAGTACTACAAGGGCCATCAGCATATTGGTTATATGTCAATAAAGATAGATAGTGAATAAAAGAAAAAATGTTACACTTGATGTTTGATTTAGGTTATGGGAGATAGGAGGCCATATTTTAGATATTGTTCTGTTTCGGACACAGTAATATGTGTTTAAACGTATCAAAATACCCTAGGACTATTTTGTGTCTGGAAGAAGTACTATTTGTCTGGAAAAATCATGGAATTTCTTGTCACAAAAATGTGGGAACACTGATTTGTAAATGTTACTGATTGTGTGTATGTGTCTTGTTACAGACTATGGGTTCTGGAAGCTGGAGGCTAAGACCAAAACCGAAAGCGGTGTCCAGTTCACAACCAGTGGTAGCTCCAGTAGTGACACAGGCAAAGTTAGTGGCAGTTTAGAGACCAAATACAAGTGGAATGAGTATGGTGAGTTTAACGATCCTTATGTCTTTGTTATATAGAGGTTTTTCTTTCTGAAAACGTTGAAGCTGTATTTTGATTGGAATAAGATTGAAGTTGTTTGTGACAATATTTCAGGATAAATGTTGTTTCAGGTCTGACATTCACTGAGAAATGGGACACAGATAATGTACTGAAGACTGAGATTACGATAGAAGACCAGATAGCTCAGGGATTGAAGCTTGCATTTGACACATCCTTTGCTCCACAAACAGGGTAGGAGCTTCTTCCTTTTGCCATATGTTTGTCTCTTAGAATGCCCAATGTGCTTTCCAGGTCAGGAAAGGATCTCCAGAACCTCTTGCTTGTCCAAGGAGCCTACTTAAATATTGGTGACTTGTGAAACGACAAACAATATGGTTATTTATTCACCACTGAACAATTTATGCTTTGGTAAACAAATTTGCACATTTTCATATATAAGGCCATGTCTTCAGGTCCTCACACACATTGTGTATTTCTTACATTATTAATGCAATCAAATAATTAACATTCCAGTCACATTTTACAGAATTAAGGAAAGAGATTTTGAAAATAATTTCTTAATCTGTGATAGATTTTCATCTAAAATGATACTAACGGGATCGGGTAGTCAGACTTGCTGACTTGGTTGACACATGTCATCGGTTCCCAATTGCTGCAGATGGATGCTCATGCTGTTGATCACTGGATTGTCTGGTCCAGACTCGATTATTTACAGACCGCCGTCATATAGCTGGAATATTGCTGAGTGCGCGTAAAACTGAACTCACTCACTCGCTCTAAAATGATACGTGATATTTTTTGTCAACCATTAGGCTTTTAGACATCTTTTACTAGACATACCGTGCTTATGCAAAAAAATACTGATTTATGTCATCATAAATAACTTGTATTTATTTTAAGTCATGTCTGTAAAGAGCTTTGTAACAACATGAGTTTTTTCAGTTTCTGTATGACTTGATGTCTTAGTTTTTAGCATTCATGTGTTGTATTTCAGGAAGAAGAGTGGCAAAATAAAGACTGGCTACAAGATGGACTATCTGAATTTAAACTGTGATGTAGACTTTGACTTTGCTGGTCCTGCCATTCATGGAGCTGCTGTTCTTGGGTAGGGTTCAAACCCTGCAAGGTTTTGTAAATTAACTTCACCAACCAGAGTGACCTCTGCCCTTTGTATCTGCCCAGTGATGGGCTACAATTGGTCCTTTGCTTGTGATGAGAGCTGGCTAAGTTTGGTCGGGTGATCAGCCTTACTGACTTGGTTATCTGCATGTCATCATGCCCGTATGGTCTTTGTCACAATGTTCACCCCTGGTTTTTCATTTCATTATTTACATGCTGATGTAGCTGAAATTGTGCTGACTGTCATCAAACAAAATTATTTGCCTTGTTGATTCACCTGGAAAGAAGGGATAGGGATTCAGTTTGTTTGCATTATGTGGGGTTTCTTTTGGCATTTTCAAGATGGAAGTTCTCGTTTAACATCTGAATTACAGGCTAACTAGGTCTTGTATTTCTTGACTCTTCTGATGTATAACTTTAGGTATTCACATGAGTAATGATTTATGAAAAAGTAGAACTTTCCAATATTGAAATATGTATAGTAGAGTGTTTGAATTTGAAGTTAGTTTTGATTGACTTGAGAGTATTCTGTTTAATATGGTGTTTTTAACTTTAGCT